TCGGACCCCATCTCAGACTTGGTTCGTTCTGATCAGATCAAAGTCGGCTTTTATCAGTGCCCGATGGCGCTCGCTCTTGCCACTTTCTGGAGAACGTTCACACGCTTTCCATCTAGCTTCAGTTAATCATTCCTTCACTCACTCACGCGCTCGCTCACTCACTTATCCGACTGGGTAATTGCGTATTCCGGTCTTTTATTCTGCAGTCATAAACGTTAAACAGGAATACTGTTTATGGTAATGATTCTTCTATAAGCACCACGCAATGTGTGTAATTATATGACTCCGTCTAGTCAAATTGAGATGAGAGCAAATTTCTAGGGTTTCATTAAGATGGCAATTTCTTGGAATTACTGAATATTCCGGAGGCAAAATGGCTGCTGAGATTAGAGGAGGTTGCTTGAGAATTACTCATATCTAAACCATCTGCTTCTCGAATTACACATTAGCCAAACTGTTGGTTCACAGTGGACTCTTATTGAATTACAGTGCAGTCATTGTGTTAAGGGCGGCCCGGCACACCAGCGCACCTCCGAACGTGGTGCGATCGCGGGCCTCAATCTTCTTTCTCATCACCCTGGCTGAGCTCCGTACACCCCTTCATTTGTCTTCAGGCTGTAGAGGGTGGAAAGGAGAAAGAGGACATTAAAATCACTTGAAGCTGGATGGGAACCGACAGTCCTGTCCCAGTCCTCACTCCATTTGTTAAGTTATGTTAATCTCTATCAAATCCATTCAGTGAGAGAATGACCCAAGCAGGCAACAAACCCGCAACAGTAACTCGCAGCAAAGTGGATGCGGGAGGAGGTTTAAGAGGAAGAGCCATCTCTGCCATTCCTAGTCTGTTTATCCCTTCGTCCAGTACACATTAACATCTTAATAGGAATGTGTGTTAAAGCACGTCTTTAGCCCCCTCCCTTCCTTTTGACAAGCGTGAATTAGGTGTCAAGCAGATTCCCTCTGACTTTAATTGAATCTGCCTTCCCTCCAAAAAAAGGGAAATCTGAAGTCAAAATAGCCTATTAGGTTTATCAAGTCATGTTTTGTTGGGTTTGGCAGTTAGCGCCGCAGCATCATCCCTACATCCCACCCCCACCCTTCTCACACAGGAGTTGTTTATGAGGTGAGATTGGGTGGGATGTTGTACAAGCACACCGCTCTGTGCTTTCTCGCTTTTCGTTATCCTCTAATAAGTTGTGGCCTGCCGTTTTTGTTTTTTTTTAACTCCCCCTGGAAATCCCCCCGGCTCTCGGGCTCAGGCCACAGATGAGAGCGGGAGATTGCCGTGGGTAAACAGGGAAGGCTGATCAACTCCTCGTGACTGGATTACCAAGCATCGGATTGCTCAGTCGAGACATCCTTCCCCTCCCTTCCTTTCCCTTCTCATCGCGGTTTTTTATCGAGTGAGATGTTTGGAGTGGGGATGAGCCAGTGGACTGATAAAACAGTACATAGACCGTGAGATGTAGCTGGGAGATCGCATGCTCTCCTCCCTGTTGGGTGTTCCCAGGGGTCGATTTTTATTCAAACGAATAGATTTCAAATTTTTCTATTATGTTATGTGAAGGTCACATTAAAACAGTCTCAGAAACTTTTTACCATTCCTCCATTATTTATATTTGTTACTTTTAAAATGCTTTTTATTTATGGATTTTATTGTTTTACCCTCATTTACACCCAGACTTTCAATATTAAAAATAAAAAAAAAATTATCACATTAAAGTGTTATAAAAATGTTATAAAGAAACCCCAGTAAAAAGGATGTTGAAATGAGACTTGCAATGTGTTATTAAAAAATAAATATAAAAATAAGATAAATGTCCATTGTTATCAAAATATTTGGTAACACTTTACTAAAAGCCTTAATGTTTAATACATTATAATGGGTTATTACGGTCTATAATGCATTATAATTATACATAATGCTGCACTGTAGGGCTGCACGATTAATCGAATGCGATTGTCATGCGCATTTTGATAGTAATGCCGGTTCTGTAATCAGCAGGAAATCATCATCACGTGCTTTCAGATGGAGCAGAATTTACTACACATAGCCGTAGTTCACTGACAAGTTACGCAAAAAAAATCGCAGACGATTTTATTGCGTGATTATGAAATCGAAGAAATCGAAGAAACAGCCCTTGATGTGCACAGAAAAGTGTGGCACAAATCTTAGGTGTTGATAATTAACAGTCTTGGTGATATGGAGATATTTCATGTCTTTCGTTGGCCAGCTTTAGAGCAATGTCTCCTGTCTGTTTTCTCTCAGTACTTCTCTTCAAACTCTTTAATTTCCGAGGCAAGTGTGAGATATTGATGAAAAATTTTGCTCCTCCTTTGCTCTGTGAAGAACCAATCAAGTCCACAAACCAGCATTAACTTTGGGTTGTCATGGATCCCTACACTTGATCAATAAACTTCACATATCATTACGCTGCGCAGTCATGGAGGCCTGCCTTGTTCTCTGGCTGAAATGGAATAAATCTTTGTTAAAAATTGCTTGTGATTCACACTTATAGTCTTGAGGGCAAAGTGTATTTCTTCAGCTCTGGCTCCAGGCAGCTCACAGTTTGTGCCAGATTCGTTTGAGTTATAGTCAGGACTGTAGTTGACAGAAGAATATAAACAACAAGGCCTTTGTCTTCAGAGCTCCACTGTCGCACTCGTAAATGTTTAACTAGTTTCACTCACGTTTTCTGTTTGCATCAGTTCTGTTTGTTGGTGCCTGTCTATAGTTTGGAGGTCTTATTCTGGAGAGGTGGATTTCAAAGATACTTGAATGCCTACTGCAGGCTGTATTTAAAATGTTTAACACACATTACAGAACATTTTAATCTACATATGTAACTTATATGTTTTACTATATGATTGTTATGTGTTCCTCTTTTCCTAACTAAATTCTCATTTATTCATTTTTTTATGTATTATCTAATATTTCCAGTTTTTCATTATAGTTAATCGGAGTAAGATTAATACTGCACTCTAAAAAATGCTGGGTTGTTTCAACCCAACTTTGGGTCTAATATGGACTAACCCAACTTTTGGGTTAAAAATTTAATGTAAAAATTTAACCCAACAGCAGAGTTAGACCATATTTGACCAGGTCTTATTCTGGAGAGGTGGATTTCAAAGATACTTGAATGCCTACTGCAGGCTGTATTTAAAATGTTTAACACACATTACAGAACATTTTAATCTACATATGTAACTTATATGTTTTACTATATGATTGTTATGTGTTCCTCTTTTCCTAACTAAATTCTCATTTATTCATTTTTTTATGTATTATCTAATATTTCCAGTTTTTCATTATAGTTAATCGGAGTAAGATTAATACTGCACTCTAAAAAATGCTGGGTTGTTTCAACCCAACTTTGGGTCTAATATGGACTAACCCAACTTTTGGGTTAAAAATTTAATGTAAAAATTTAACCCAACAGCTGAGTTAGTCCATATTTGACCCAAAGTTGGATTGAAACAACCCAGCATTTTTTAGAGTGTAACGTGTTTTGTCTATTATGGAATTGCAGAAAGAATATATGTGGTTATGTGTAGTTTGTCTAAAAAATGTGAACCTGCTTTCTGCATAATGTCATCATTATATCATTATAATTCATTATAATCATTATAATTCACCTCATAATCATCTGTATGTTATTTAACCATAGCTAAAATACAGGTTAATCATTTGATACGCTAACATTCATGAGCTTTTTGAAAGAAATTAAAGTGCCCCTATTATGGATTTTTGAAAATGACCTTTCATGCAGTGTGTAACACAGCTCTAAGTGAATGAAAACATCCTGCAAAGTTTTAAATCTGAAAGTGCACCGTGTATAAACTTACTGTCTCTCAAAAGAAAGAGTCGACTCTGAATCATTGAAACGAGTCGTTTTTAAAACGAATCCCAAGCCGTTTCATGTTGACATCAACGTGCACTGTGTATAAAGTTATTGTCTCTCAAAAGTAAGAGTCGACTCTGAATCATTGAAACGAGTTGTTTTTAAAACGAATCCCAAGCCGTTTCATGTTGACGTCAACAGGAACCCTTAGCTTATTGCCCGCCCACTTGTTGGTCTTTTAGCATTGGTCTGAATGAAAATGCAAATTAATAATTTGCTTTTGGAGCGGTAATAATAGCGGTTTCCCCGATAACACTGTACACAAAGCAGCACTGCGCTCACAAACGCTGCTTTATCAGGCATTACAGGCATGATGCAATAAAACTGGACCAATCACTGCAGATTAGCGTCACGCAAAGGAGGGGTTTGGAAAAATTAATCGTTAAACGTATATTTTGGGAGTCGTTGAGCAAGTAAGGTAAAAATAAATGCATATTATAAGACAACGAAAGTATTTTTTGACCTTGCATGCATGTCAACCTGTTGTTGGGGACTCCCAAAACCAAAATATGAACCTTTCATAACCCATAATAGGGGCACTTTAATACTTTTGTTCAACAAGGATGCATTAAACTGATTAAAAGAGACCGTAAAGGCATTTACTGTATGTTACATGAGATTTTCATTTTAAAAATGCTGTTCTTTTGAATGTTCTATTCATTATAGAATCCTGGCAAAAATGCAGCACGGTTTTAACAAAAAAAATAGTAAGCAGCAAAACAGCATATTCGAATGATTTCTGAAGGGTCATGTGACTGAAAACTGGAGTAATGACTGCTGAAAATTCATCTTTGCCATCACAGGAATAAATTACATTATAAAATATATTCAAATAGAAAACTTGTTTTAAATTGCAATGTGTCATATTACTGCTTTTACTGTATTTTTGATCAAATAAATGCAGCCTTGGTGAGCATAAGATGCTTCTTTCATAAACATGGAAACATCTTACCGACGGCAAACTTTTGATAATGTACCTATTTAAAGCGGCCTTATAATGGACTATACAGTATAAACCGGCTTGATATGCAGTGTTATGTTTTCTGTTTGTTAATTCTGTTGCAAGTAACACACCATCTCTTGACTTTCTTCTGTCAGATTCACAAGCAGGACCAGAAGCACAGAGATTGGACCATGCGGTTATCGGAGGAGTGGTGGCCGTCGTGGTCTTCGCCATGTTGTGTCTTCTCATAGTTTTGGGACGATACTTTGCAAGACACAAAGGTAATTCAGCCCCCAGACTTTCTTGCGGCACATTTCCAAGGTCAATAGACTTTCTAATTATTTGGAATAAGATTCTGGATTGGCGAAGAAGCCATCCTGCCGTCGAAGCTCTGCAGGTGCTTTGAATTGGCTCGTGGCTACGACCACATTAAGGCCGCTATCCCTCTGAGTGCACCGCGCTGTTGTGTTCTGTAATATAAAGTGAGCGCAGCATCTCCGCTTTTCATCAGGGCTACTGCCTTCATTATCACGCCACAGACTGAGAGGATGGGAATAATCCCACTCGGAAATGAAGTTTGAAGTGGATCGCTTATTCCCACCACCTTGTAACACTTTCCAAGGTTAATTCTAAAGCGCAAAGTCAAACTGAACCCAAACCTGGAGAGGATTTTATGGAAATTTCCTGAATTATTAGCCACAAATAACAGGTTTATTCTTCCGAGCGCGTGTCAGACTCAATTTTCGTCTCTTTTCTTGTTTGTTTTATCTAATGGCGCTCGATCCAGAGGGTCAGATTTCATCTGCCGTGCTGTAATCAAAGTGTCCTCATCACGAGGTATTAGTTTGGGGACGTATTACCTGTTGTTCTCGCACATGAAAGACAGTATAACGCAACCAAGTGCAGCGTGGTGAAATTAATGCCTTATTTATGGGCAGGTAAAGTCCCTGGAATCGACCCTCACTCTAAATTAGAGAAGCAGCTCCAGATGGTCTTTAATCTCTTTTAAAACCCCGCAATTGCATCAATCAGAGGCCCCGGGGTGCTGGAGATATTGCTTTTATCAACACGTTTTTCTTTGAAACCCACACAGGCACCTACTTCACACACGAAGCCAAGGGGGCGGACGATGCGGCGGATGCCGACACGGCCATCATCAACGCCGAAGGGGGCCACAACAACTCGGACGAGAAGAAGGAGTACTATATCTGAGTCCCGAGGCCTCTGTTGTTCTTACTATTTTCTTTTTCGTTTTGTTTTTGGCGGGAGAGGTTGGGGCATGGGGAAACTGAGATAGTTTTGGTTTATTTGTTTGTTCGTTTCATTTTCTTTCCTGGGGATCGAATGACGTAGGATGCTACACGGGCAGCTGAGAAGATGTAGGTATTTGTGTTATACAGCAGGATCAGGGTCAGGGGTGGGGTTTCGGGGCGGGTGGGATACCAGATGTTGCCAGATATGAGTGTAGAAAGCGTCACCACACAGCACCTCCCCAACTGCTGGTATTTTTCGTTCATTTTCGACCATTTGCAGAAAATTCTGTGCCTTGTTCTGAATTTCTTTTCTTAGTCATGCTTTAAACGCCATCCATCACGTCCCACCTTAAACCCCCCCTCCCTGGAAACACACATACACCACCATCTCTGATTATCGACTTTATCGGCTTTCCTATGAAGCGCACACCTCAATACATTCCCCTACACTGTGGGCATCTCCTTCAAAACATCATATCCTCTGTACTAAGAGCAGACCTAGTCACATAACAGCGTTTTGATTTACTCAATCCCGAGTCATCAGCATCATGAAGGGAAGTACAAGCAGCTTCCTTCCTTCCTTCTTGTCCCCCAACAAGTTGATGAGACCGGCGGAGAATTGATCCTGAACGTTGCCCCTGTTTTCATTCTGACAGGCGGCATCTGCATCGCTGTAGAATGCTTTTATCCTTGGTTTACTTCATTTACTTGAGTTTTTTCCAATTATACTGTATGTGCCAGTACATCTGAAGCATCGCAACCGCTCAGAATGAGCATAGGTGCAGAAGAATGGTTCCTGCTACGCTGCACCTACGGAGGCTTATTGTCTCGTTCTGCTCAGCTAGACACAGCCGAAAGCCCTTGCAGCTATTTATTGTTTCGGTATAATGATGTCTTAGGTTTTCTCTGCATTTTCATCCAGACACGTTTTTGCACATGCCATAATGACGATTGAGTCGCCGTCACTGAAAAAGGTCTAAATGCTGTGGCTTACGTTTTGTTTTTTCGTCTTATGCTGTAGTTTCCCATGCAGGGCTTGTGAAGGTGACCCTCTAGCACACGTAAATAACTACCTAAAATTGTGTCAAAGCGAACGTTTTAGAGTCTGTTTTGTTAGGCTCAAGGGAGGAAGCACCACAACCATCATGTTTATAGATATACAGAGAGGGAAGATTTGGAAATGATTTGATTGCTATAACTTTACTACCTTAAAATGCATTTTAACAGCCAAAAAAACATCTGCATTTGTGTATCTTGTTTGTAGGCGAGTCAGTGAGGATGTGACATTGATGTTAAGCAGTCCAACAAGTGTGTAATGGTATATGATTGCCTGTCAAGTTAATTGCCTGTTTGTTCTTCCTCAGAGGAAACAGTGGCAATCGCAGCTAGCTTATCCTAGTGATATTAGTATTTGAATATAAACTGCCCAAATATCCCAGACTCCATGGTGCGAAAAAGCACCACGGTGAAATAATTTCCTCTTGAAGTGTAAACAATGTGTGTTTTATTGTTTATAATTGCTGTGAGTTGCTCCTCCGGGTTCCTGCTTATGCATAATAGTCCTGAGCTTCAAATGAGGTTAGTTTAAATGGAGAGTGAAACAGTCTTTTATTACCAATACAGTTTGAAAAAAGTGGGAAAAGCTTTTAATAACATTCCAAATATTTTAGGAAAACCGTCTACGATGTAATTAGCCGCATTTGTGGATTTTCCCCTATATTGTCAACACATGACGCTAACCAAAAAAACTCAAGTATCATGCTCTCTTCGCTCCTGTGAAAAGCATTAGACATTTCACCGAAGCCTAGCTACAAACGTAGCGCCCGTTAAGGGTACATAATGTAAGGTGGCTAAGATGTCTAAAGTACTTTTCCTAAAGAGAAGTATTTTTTCTCATTTCCTCATGACTCTCTCTGTAGTGTAAGTGAACTTAGATGCCATAGTTTAGGCCCTGCTGAAATCAACCTCAGTGTGTAAATAAAACGGCGAGGTTGAGGGGGGAAAACACACTCTCGTTTGCTTTATTTTCGTATTTAAAAAAGAAAAAAACATGAGACGTTTTAGAGTATGTGCATTAACCATAAGAAACACTTTTGGACGCCTTTTTTTTTTTTACGTAGAATACAAATCCGAGGGAATGTCTTGCAGCTTGATGGTTACCGTTGCAGTTGAGATATACAGTTGTGTGGCTTGTGCTTAACTAGTGAGCATCATTTAGCTTTGGTCTGGCAGCTTCTGAACAGGATTTCAGACATCCCTTCTTCTCTTTTGCATATGTGAGAGACATGACATCAGTATACTAATTTGTGGTATTTAGACTGGGCCGATGTTCATTTTGTTCAACTTGTTATGTTAGACCTGTTTTAATGTGATTAATGTGGTTTAATCCACTCTGCTAGGCTCTGAGGACTTGAGACAGACGGTCGATGGGAAGACGCGGTTACGCCAGTGATCTTTTGACGTCTGTCTCTTGTACAGCAGGTTGAATTGAAAGTGTCCAAATATAACTGCTTGTTTTGAGATGTGAACTGGGTTCGGTTTCAGTTCTGTCATTTCTGTTGTCGTGTTTGTTGTTTTTGTTGCTTTACTAGTGCCCCTTGTTTGATAGTGCAACAGTGTTACTGATGGAACTTGATTTGATTTCTTTTATTTGAACTTGACAGTTTCATTTAAGCCCTGTCTCAGGTTCACAAACAATACACGGTATGTTTGCATCTCAGGTAGAATGCAAAGTTACAGCCCCCGATTAAGAAAGTGGAAATTAAATACAAACCGGATCAAGCTGGATCTCAAATCAAATGGTGAATTTTACATTAGAACTCCGTTTCGTGTGTTTTTTGTTGATGTTGTTTATTTGGTGCACTGTAAAATGTGTACATAATGTACACACTATGTTGAGTATTATCTTTTTTTTTTAGACCTACTTCACAAAGAGAGGACAGGAAAGGACAAACCAACGGCTCTCATGATAAAATGTAATTATTTTACAAGTTTTAGAAGAAACTTTTAAAAAAGTACGAGGTATGAAGTTCACACCTGGGGCAAAAGCAGATCGTATGATATAAAATGATACAAATTCACCCCCAATTTGGCAAAACGTAAAATAGTTATTCATTTCCATGAGAGTGTGTTGGGGCAAACAAGTACCAATTTGAATTCAAAGTCGACATGTTTCTCGTTCTGGTTCCAGCTAGTTTGGAAAGTTTGAACGGTTATCATTCATTGTTTTTAGGTTGGTTATTTTTTGTCTTTCTGCTGTACTTGGGCAATGTTACTGTGTATTAATGAAGAAAAAATGATATCCACATTCCCATACACATTTTGTATTTGTTCATATTAGACATTTTTACAAAAAAAAAATGGAGAGTTCTTGTCTTAATAAAAAAGAAAAGATATTAATGTTCAAAGTAATGCTTGGTTTTGGTGCTGTTATTTCCTGTGTTACATGACATGAAAATCTTACTCAACTTTTAAAGGTAAAGTCATACTTCTGAAAGCACGAGTGAAAAGACCTATATTTTGCTGTCGTCAATGATCTACAGTGCAGCGGGATCGGAATCTATTTGAAAACTGGCAGAATCTCATCAGGAAAAGGTGGTATGTTTGTCTTACAGGATACTTGTGCCATTAATATTTGAGATTCACCATCTTCCATACAGGTTTTTCCTCACAAACCTTCAAAGAATGTGTTACATATCTGATGTTCCTAAAATATTTTTAACAATTTAGCTATTGCACTATTCCCATTTCAGTGTCCTTGGTATGTTCTTTAGACCAGTGAATGTATGATCATGTGATCATATAGAATTCTGAGTCTTTGTGCTGCGTTGAATTTGCTTCCACAGATACATTAGTAAGCTCATTCTATTTCTAAATACATCAAGACTGTACTAAAACACTCCAAGATCATTTACGGGCTTTTAAAGTTTACTTTTGCTTTAGAGCGAGTTCACGAAATCCAGTCGAGGCTCTCGCTTTCGCATCTCTATTATCTTTGGCATTCTCAGCTCTGTCACACTTCTGCATTGTGCTTTTATTCGGCTGAACTTCGACCGAGGCAGCCTACAGAAAGAACATCTCTCTAAGGTATAGCGCGCTTCTTTCTCAAGCTGTCTCATGCCCGCACCCTGACCTCGCCGCCCAGTGGCAATCTCAGCGACACACTCTGCAGATGCTGACCTTGAGTTGTAGCTTTTTTTTCTTTTTTCTTCCCTCTATATGATGCCTGGTTTTTGATTGCCTGAGCAGGAGCTCAGCACCAGGGTTGTCACGCTGCCAAGGCTCAAAGTCACCCTCTGCTCAGATAGGATGGATCTCAAGGTACAGGCAGAGAGGAGCACAGATGTCACGTGGAATCATCTCCGTTCCAGAGAGAGAGACAGAACCAGATCTGGGGGAGAAGAGAACGCTTCGTGGCTCAAGGCGATGGCAGGATTTCATCATGTCCTGTAGCTTTGCTAGATTACAGCAGAGCCTGTAAAGTTACACTATATCTGGATTAAAAATCACATTTTAATACTTTCTGACATTTTCTTGAGCTGATGCGATGGAGCAGCTCTCAGCACAAATCGTTGCGATTTAAAGCGATATTGCACACAAAAGTGAGAATTCTGTCATTGGTTACTCACACATGTCATTTCAAAACCCTTCTCTGTTCGAACACACAAAGGGAATTTTGATACTTTAGAAGGAAATAGGTCCTGGTTATTACAAAAAGCACGTACAACTAAGATCTTTATTTATAATGATGATTTACAAGGATTATAAAACTACAATTATTCCGCTGCTTAGACTATTGAACCTAGTTACCCCTCCTGCAATATTTAAAATAATAACATTGTGAGCAGTCATTTGAAAAATTTTATATTTTAAGAACAGATTTTATGTCTCGCATCAGACTAAATATACAGAAGTGATTTAACATACATATAGAAGGCATAATAAATGAAAGTAAAGTGTGTTTCAAATAACTTTTGTGATAAAATGTCAAAATATGGGTGAAATAATGTTCCATTGTCATTCAGAGTAACATATTTATGTAAAAATGAAAGAGCATACTTATTCTGACCTGTACTTATTAAAATATATGCCGTAAAAGAAAAAAGCGATCATACTACACTTTATTATATTTTTAATGATTAAAAACTTCTTGCTGACAAATACGTCAAATCTAGTGGTTTGAAGGATAGTGGTAAAGATTTAAAAGTACTATTAATTAGTAATTTGGGAGCTGCACTGTGATCTTTCATAGATTCTTTTAATGTAATGATTCTTGTTCTAAATATGTCTGACAAAACTTTTTGGTATATACACTACTGTTATTCTAAATGACATTATAGTGGGTGTCATCTGTAATTCATGAAAAAATATGTATAATAGTCATTTTCTTTTAATATGAAGTGTGAAAACATGACAACTCCTACACATTTTCTTTCTAAAAAAAATATGTGAAATCTATTGGAAGTTTTTCTTTGTTTTCTGCTGTGGTAACATCAGTGTATGACAAAAAAAAAAAATGAAAAGAGCTTGCAGATTCTTCACGAATTCACAAAGAAGCAACAGCATATATCTCTGAAATGACATGAGGGTGAGTAAATAATGTCAGAATTGTAATTTTGTGTGAACTACCCCAGACTATAGGACATCAGGCCCATTGCAATCTCATATAGGCGAGAGCTCACCTTTACAGACTCTAAATGGATCCATTGAAGGTAGTTGGAAAGGGGAAAGTCATTCACAGCAACAATAGTGTGTCTTAATAGCATTGGCCCTCCACTCACTGCAGTCTGGGTCCACAGGTGAGAAGGGGACTGATTCCTGAAATTGCAAGAGATTTACAAGGATAGAGATGAAGGAATACTCCATTAAAGCCAATATGGGGTTTCGTCTCAATACACGCATTTATAGGACTGGAGTGGACAGACTTATCCCTGTGTGTTATGACATCATTTCTGACCCATGCACAAATCTGATTCAGAGATTAATCACAGTGTGATTCATCTCTGATTAATCAGACTCCAGCCATCGTTAGCATGTACCTGATATCCAAATCCAATATCCAAAAAGCAGTTCAGACTCCCAATTGATTAGATGTGCTGAGCTTTAAATCACAGTGTCATGCTTAAAAATGTAACGAAATAACAAAATATCAACGCCATTGTCCTTTGTCTCAAAGAAAAGCTGCACAAGCACAACATCTCGAAGAAAAAAAAACTTGTTGTAGGGTTTAATTCTTAGTTATAAAACAATGGATACACTGTTCAAAATTAAGTATCTGGGCCCTTGCTGCTTGTCAAACATTAGTGGATCATGTTCATGGTTAATATAATGAACTACATCTGAGGTTACTCTGATATGACAACTGTGTGAACCTGAGGTGAAATTACTTCATACATCCACTAAAAATCTAATTTCAGAAGGAATTGAAAAATGCTATCTTATGCAAAGACATTCCGACAGTTTTAAGTGTGACTTAAGTGACCAAATACTTTACTGTAGCATCTAGTAATTATATGTATGCTTCCCATGCCATTTAGAATAAATTACACCTACATTTATAAATGCCACTGCAGCAAAACAGATGGCTATACATTAAGATGCAAACTAGCATATTAGATGCAAATAAGAGGTAACGACG